ATGAGTTCACTGTACTCAAATGGCCTCCACAGTCACCATATCTCAATCCAATAGAGCATCTTTGGGATGTGGTGGAACGGGAGATTCGCATCATGGATGTGCAGCCGACAAATCTGCGGCAACTGTGTGATGCCATCATGTCAATATGGACCAAAATCTCTGAGGAATGCTTCCAGCACCTTGTTGAATCTATGCCACGAAGAATTGAGGCAGTTCTGAAGGCAAAAGGGGGTCCAACCCGTTACTAGCGTGGTGTATCTAATAAAGTGGCCGGTGAGTGTACTTTCTGTTTATTAACCTCTGAGTTTGTAGTTTCATAGTACTAATCATTGGATGACTGTCTAACTGGTTTAAGTGTGACTAAGTAATGTGCATAATATACTAAGGAATATGATAAACTGCAAAAAAGTAATGGCAGTGTAATATAATAACGTTTGCTTTATAAGTCCAGAAGACAATCACATTTCAGCTCTACGTATCTTAAGTTACAACAAACATTCAAAATACAGAATACAGAGAGGAAGACCTGTACAACAGTAGGGGACACAAAAACATGTTTGCCGGTGGAGACGGTAGTGCAGAGGATAGGTGGTCTTTGTGAAGTGTGTGTGTGCGCAAAGCCTGTGCACCTGTGCCAAGGTAACACTCTGCCATTGTCCTGATAGATGGAATAAAGGTTATCAGTCGGCACTGAGCCCAAGTCGAAGCTGCAGGTGTTGATGGTTTGGATGAGGAGCGTCTTGTTTGGGAGAATCAGGGAGAATTTGAGACAGTCAGCGCGGGAAGGCTGAAACATGGAGCCAAATGCAGCAAGAAAATGTTTTCGGTCAGGCAGACAATGATAAATTTTCTTCTGACTTTATATCCGCGGGTACATCCCAAGGTGACGAATCCAATCAGACAAATTAGTGTGGGAAATCCTGCGAGCCGAGCTATAAGCTTCTCCAAGATCGATTCCATCTCGCCAGCGAGTTCCAGGGACCGAAGCTGGCCCGCGACCGTCAGCAAGAGCAGAATGTGTCTCAGCTCGCACAGGGCTTGAGTCTGAGTGCTGACAGCACGGCACATTTCTTCATAGTGGTGTAGTGATCACATTTATAATTATTTTATCTGAATAAAAAAATGAATTATTTCATATAAAACATTCATTAGATTAGATTAGATTAGAGACCCTTATTGTCACTGTACAGAGCACAATGAAATTACAGTTCAGAACACCCATTCAGAAGAAGACAGAACATAACAAACATAGGAGAACAGGTGCTCTGGGTCATGCTGCCACAGACCCTGCACAGAGCAAGGATCATCTTCATGAAGACATCATGAGGAGGCGCAACCCTTAACAGAAAAACTAAAAACCACACAAGGGAAGCTTGGATGGAGGACAACAGAGCTGCTTCATGGAAGAAGAACTTCAGCTTAGCCTGTTAGTCTTTGCGTTAGCGCTGACTCTATTATTGCCTTTTATGTATTACCTCGGTGCTAGCATGACAAACGAACAAGCTAAACTGAGGTCCTCCATCCATATTTTCAGTTGCAGGCTGAGTCATTTTTGCGTTCCCCTCTCTGTCATGTGGATGGAGGACCTCAGTGACGAGAGAAGAATGTGTAGCGCTGAGCTAATACATATATATGGTGATAGCGTTGGGGCTAATGCTAAAGCTAACAGGCTAAACTGAGGTTTTTCTTCCATGAAGCAGCTCTGTTGTCCTCCATCCATATTTTCAGTTACAGTCTGAGTCATTTCTACCTTCTCCTCTCTGTCAACGCTCTCTGGTTTCATTTAAAAGAGTCGATCATCAGATATTGTCCAAGATTAACCTTCAGGGTGGATATAGCTCGCTAGCAGCCTTGCAGCAAGGACCTATCCACATCACCATTTACCCAGAATGCTTTGTGTGTAAATAAAATGGCCCGTGTAATATTTTTAAACTTTTAGTTTAAAAATTATAAAAACTAAACAGCCTACAGTTTTTTACAGTCTTTATTTTACAGTTAAAATATATGTTTATCAAATGAAGTCTAATGCCACAACTAATCACAGATCCCTTTAAAGGCACAGTGTGTAGCACTAATGGCAATAGTAAAAAACATATCTAATCATTGCAGACAAAGACCTCGTTTTATTATTTTTACCTCATAAAAAGCTGTTTATATCTCCATGGTCGCGGGTCGCCACTACAGGCAGCCGCCATATTGCACCGCCATCTTGTCTACGAAGGCTCATGAAGGACAAACTGCGGTGACGGCGTCTAAAACTGTTTTAGTTGTAATACTATAAATGTAATATTTGTTGTCTGTCATTGTAGCTGGGATAATTTTACTTATTAAAGCTCATAATCTTACCACTTGAAACATCACTAGCCCTGAAGCTGCTGGTAGACATCGCGGTTGGAATTATCAAAGGTTTTTGACACCTGAGAGACACCGTAGCAACTCCTTTGCGTTTGGTAGTGGGGGGTGGGGGTGGGGGGAGGACCAGGGAGGATGATTCAATCACTAGATGTCGCTGAAAACAACAAATCCTACACACTGTGCCTTTAATAAAACTACAAGTATCTTAACATGAAATTTGTTTTTGATAAAAGTTAAAGTCTCCTCTAAGAGTATTACTTCAGTAAAAGTCTTAAAGCTTATGATATATTTTGTACTTAAGTATCAAAAGTAAATTTCTGACATAAAATGTACTCAAGTAAAAGTATTGAGTAAAAACGATCTGTTAGATTTTCCAAAATACATTTATTGGGAGCTGACCTCTCTAAAAACATTTTTTCTAAAGGTGTGCAGCTGTGATGGATTGTGTACAAACAAATATGACATGAGAATGGTAAATATTTATACTTCTCATCAAACCACAATTAAATTCACTCTATCCAGGAGGCACAATTTATCAGAATAGTATTTTTTAACAATAACAAGCTGAAATGAAATAGGAGAAACAAGTATTTGACAAACAAAACAAAAGAAGAACATGTATTTGAAAATGAGTCACCAGTTTTCACAATAAAACATCCTAATAAGTAACTCTTCTCAGATCGTCTTCATCAGTATGACCTGATTTTTAAATTTAGTTTGGTTTTTAATTAACAAACGAAAGGCACGGCTGAATGAGCCTGCTTGGTTTCTACCTTTTGAAGTAGTTTGTGTGGTTATGTCAGCAGAGTGTGGTGCTGTCACACAATTAATCACCACGCTTACGTAACTCTGACAGGATGCTACAAACTTAACGGTGAGGATATGTTTTTACAGCCTCGTCCTCTGAATACCAAGTTTTTCTCTGTTAATAACAAGTTTGATGTAGGTGTTTTTTTATGTTAGAAGTAAAAACGGAATATGAAATGCAGACGTCTCCACCTTGAAGTCTCAGAGCTTCTTATGCAACAGTTTTTCAGTGTTCAGGCTTGGATTCATCAGAGCTCAGAAGGTTTGTTAGGTGGCAAGAAGAAACTCTTAGTGCTCTGTCTAACTAGATGCTGACCAGCTGAATAAGACGGCTGACAACTTCATTTTTAAACTGGAATAGTTGAAAAATTTTTTGAAGAACTACTAGAATTATAATTTATGAAGAAATTTGAAGTCTGTTATGGTTTAAACCACCAATCCTTCCTTTAGTTTAGGGGTGTCAAAGTCATTTTGACTGAGGGTCACAGTTACTCAAAGCCAATAGCTCAGGCACAGGACAAGTATTATTCTTCACCTTTTGAAATTTGTTCATTTTGTTGCACTGAATCATAAATTTAAAGTTTAACATTGATACAAAAACTGTCTTAATATTAAATCAACACTTTTTTTGTTGTTTAGTGGTGGCAGGCCTGACGGAAGTCACCCTTGAACCACATTTGGTCTGCGAGCCTTGACTTTGACACAGTTTATATCTTAAGATCTGAAACACAATCTGTAAAATTAGCTTTCAAAAATAATTTGAGCAAGGACAAAAGTATTTTCCCCATTGATAAATAAGAAGCTGATAAAGTGGTAAAGCTGAACAGGAGTTAAGAAATAAAACGAGCTAGAAACAAACAAAAAAATGTTACGTGAAACGATATTTTTCCCCAAACTTTCCCCAAACTAGCTTTAAAGTGCCTGTGATGTCAATTTTTTGCAATACATATGAATGCATTTTTAGAAAGAGGACATAGATAAAATTTGCAAAAAATAACTTTGATGTTGCTGAGATGAACAGTTGTTTAAATATTTGCCTGTGAAGTAACAGGAAGTGATGTCAAAGGGGAATGTCTGCATGTGAACAGAGTGTTGCTAAAATGGCTAACAACTCAGACTGTAGAGAAGAATCTGATGTTTCTTTAGGTTATTTTGAGTCACTATCAGAGAGATGAAGAAGAGTCAGAGTTCAAATAATATTGTTTCAGTAAACAAAGACCAGAGACTTTTCTTTGTTAAATAGTTCCCCTTTGATGTCACTTCCTGTTTCACTTTGGCTGAGCCAAGTTCAAAAGAAAATATGCCAGTTAAGGATCAAATATTTATTTTATTTTTATTTATTTACCGTTATTTAACCAGACAAGTCCAGTTGAGATCTCAGATCTCTTTTTCAAGGGCGGCCTGGGCCTGAAGGCAACCTATTGTACAGGTTTTTGTGTTGTGGGGGGAACCAGAGCACTCAGAGAAAACCCACACAAGCACGAGGAGAACATGCAAACTCCGCACAGAAAGACCCCAGGTCCGAACCGGAGATCGAACCCAGGACCTTCTTGCTGTGAGGTGTCAGTGCTAACCACTGAGCCATCGTGCTGCCCGAAATGGGTTACATCGTGTGTATTATTCCAACTTTCTTAAATATAAAGACGTTTTCTTTGACTTTTTGTATTTGAAGAATATGCATGTCATCGTCACTTTAAGAAAAGATTTAGAGGCACAAGCATGCATTTATTGCTGCATAGAATTCTAGATAATAACTGAAGTCACACACTCTTTCTCCTACACACACACACACACACACACACACTCTCATACACACACACACAGACTTAAACACTCACCAGGCCTGAGACTTCCTCCTTGGCACGCTCTGTCTCATCCACTTGGAGTGAGGGGTCAAGTGGTAAATGAGCTGGCGGCATATCTTGTTGGTGGACTTGAGCGAGTTGGCCTCCTGCAACACACAGACACACACAATTGTCAGTTGTACTATGACACGTTTGAAGAAACACGTTATTTTTAGCAGGATGCTTTGAAAAAAATAGGAACTGTGGGTTTATAGTGTTTTGAAAAGTGACATTATTCTGATATCTTGGTGACTAATATCGATTTCTTATTCCTGCAAAAATAGATGTGCAGCTGCAACAAAGACAACCCTGTTTTTAATCCCATGTGTTATTTTTTTCTTTCTTTTGTTTCTGTCTTTCCTCCATCAGTGCATTTAGGTGGAATGGAATGACTGGGCTAAATCTAATTATTGGAACAACAGGAAAAAGACAATGTGGTAAGAGGAAGAAGAAAGGAAAGAAGAAGAAAAACAGACGAGGGCAATGTACCCGGAGAGGATTAACCATTCCTGCTGCCACTTCTACTTCTTGGCTGACGAAAGGAGCGGGGCCTGAAAAACATTCAGAGCTGCTCTCTCAGCCGCTCGGATGACTGAGCATGATGTTACAGCAGCACATCCTGATTTACAATAAGTGTTCTTGTTTGGTCTGGATGGCTCGCCGCAGTCACACCCCGTGCAGTACTGTAACTCCGTAAGCTCTCATTAATCACCGCTCTCCAAATCTGAGAGCGTCGAACTAAAACACGCACCGAATTAATCGTCTCAAACCGATGACTCACGCTGTCACAAGCGACGCCTGTTTTCCCGCTCACAATACGCCTTTGATTGTACGATTTGAATAAATATCCGCGCGGTGGAAGATGCAGGCCAGAGGAAGAAGCTGCCAGGCCTGAACGTTCAGCTCTCTGCCTCTTTTACATCCTCGTCACGTTTGACTTGCCACGGGTCGCCAACTCGTCAGGAGCACACTGCTGCCAGCTCCTCGCTTTTTTTTCTTCCTCTTTTCTTTTTTTTTTTTTAACTCCTGAGCTTTTGTTACAAGAAGAGAAAAGATGGGAGTTTCTTACAGGTGATATTTATCTGGCATGTGTTGAGAAAAGAAAAAATCGGATTGCTGTGACCTTATTTTAAAAGGCTTTTTAAAATTTTTCCTTTAAAACTCCAAGTTAACAGCTGAAGTTAACTTTTTTAGCTGCTGGGTTTCTGTCTTGCAGCCACCCTGAGCTGCTGTTTTTTTTTCTCACAGTTTGTAGATTGAAAATGGATCTGGAATTTTAAATGTGTCTGTTTTTGTATGCCGCGCTGCAAGCAAATGAGTCCACTGTCGGTTGGACAAAGTACTGTTTATTCCTCAAATAACCAGTTGTATTTTCTCACTGACTGCAGTGTTCTGACCTCAGCTTTTAAGAAAAGATCAAAACTACTGATGTTAAAACAAAATCTGAACTTTTACTGCTGCATTTAGTTTCCAATGACTTCAGCAATTCTCTTGTTTTGCCAAAGGTTTAGTTGTAGCGATGATGTTTCTGCATGTTACAGCTGATAAACTTCGAGATGCTCGCCACAGCCGAGCCACCAAACACAAAAATGACAATAACTCAGTGAATTTTACAGAAATTGAGCTGGTGGTACCTCTTAGTCATTCACACGTACTCTAAACCAGAGGTCTGCACCCTTTACTACCAAAGGAGCCATTTCTGCCCCTTGGCTCACTAATAAAACATGTCCTGAGCTTCAAAACGTGCTGCAGCTGGGATTTTCAACTGGTGGCCCACAAGCCACTCTGAGTTTGTTGATGGGGGGCTATGTTGCCCAGTGGGGATGACATTATAAAGCTTAAAATATTTAGTGAATTTCAGTGGTGGGCAGTGCTAATCCAAAAATTAGCTCCGCAACTTCAAAAGTGCTTATGCCCTAGAAAAACTAGCGGAAGCTAATTTTAAAGCGCAAGTTCAATTTGACACTTACTAGCTGGCAACAATTCATGTACAATATATGCACAACACTGCCAACTAGCGGTGTATGTACCTTGTACAGCTTAATCCTACAACCGCCGATTGCCGGGGATGTGTGAAACAGAACTTTGGCTCCGGGTGTAAAAATTAAAAAGTTGTTGAGGATTGCTAGTTCAGCTGCTTCTTTGTCTTTTTCTTTTGTTTGTTGTAAATTTTTCATTAAAGAAGCATCAGTAAAAGTAATTTTAAAACTGTTTATTGGAAAACTGAAGCGATGCATTCTGGGTACATGGCGGATTTGATTTGTGACTGAAAACGAAAGCACGGAGTACAGGAAACTATCTGCAAACTTCAAAATAAGAGCTTTGATTTTAAAGTTTTCCATGTAGTTGCTCCAGTTGACCACTAGATGTCTGTCTAACCCAGTTGGCCGAGTGCTTCGACCAATTACGTCAAGTATTGAGCTCCAGCGTTTAAACTGTATTTTTTTTAAAAAAGGCGCTCCGATCGTAAAATAAAATAAATCAATACATACTAAATTTTAGTATGGATTTCAAACATTTACTGTTTTTGCTGGGAAAGGCAGTACTAAACATTTCCTTCCTTCTACGTAAGCAGACACAAAGCATTGTGGGAAATGAGAACCATGGCCAAAAGCAACGGTCAGCAAAGATGTATACCCTTCCAGTAAGTGTGTTTATCTGGGAGGGGTGCTGTTGGATAGATCATGTGTGTCGTGATTCATTGACAGCCATAACTTCCGCTGTTCAAGATAATGATGACTGGTAGGTAATTAGTTAATAGCTGTACTGCACTTTATTTATGGAAAGCACAAATCTGCTTATGAATTATAAAAATTAGTAAGACAGCTAAAGCGCAAACGAAATATTTAGGTCCGCAACTAGTGGATTTGTGCTTTAACGGACTGGTGCCCACCACTGGTGAATTTTAATGTTTATTATTTTTACACTTTAGAACAAAAGAAAAGATTAATGTAAACAAGAACAAAACACACCAAATTTAAAAACAAAATGAAAACTCTATGCAGGCTCACCATATTTCTTTTCAGCAACTTCTCTTAAAGTTAATCCAAACAGAGATCATAGAGAAAGATTTTACTTAAAGGCTGGAAGTTGGATTATTGAAGTGACTAACAAACTACTAGCATGATCTAAACAACATGTTTCACTTCTTGTATTGGTATATTGATCACATCTTTGCAAACAAATTGACAGAAAAACGGCTAAAGCTAGCGTTTTCTTTTGGGAATATAAAAAAAGGAAAAAAAGTCATCTCATGCTAGTTTTGGTCAAAGCTCCAAAGAGTTGCATGTGGCCCCAGAGCTAAAGATTGCCATAACTGTCCACCCCTCTGGTCTGGTGTTGGAGCAAACAAGTGGACTGTCGGCTGCAGGGAAAAGTAAGAACGTGGGGCAGAGGTAACTGCAGAGGAGCAGGGCTGCAAACCTATCTGATACAAATTCATAAGATTGCCCTATATGTCTGTAAACATGCAAAATGTGTGAAGATCTCTGTTATTTACTTACAATCCTTACAAGATGACATGGGTTGCAGATCACTGCACTAAACGTTAACAGATTCTGGTAGGTACAGCAGTATTACATGAGATTGGGCACATCTGGATTTTTATCAACCTTTGACCAAAGTTACTACGTTGTCGTTTCTCAACACAAGATGATCTGTTTAAGAAGAAAGGCGAAGGGAGATGTGCATTCTCTCTAGGAATTTTAATGTGATCCTTATTTTCACCAACAGTCTATGGAAATCTGATGTTTTTCTTTCCGTCCCTCACATGTTTCCCACAATTCTTCATCAACATTTATGACAAAAATAGACTTCCTCTGGCCAACAGCCAATTGTCAAAGTCCTCAAAGTGCCCTATCAGTTTGTGCCAAAACTGCTCAGACCCAGAAGCCTTGATATTTACTGGTCAGGCCAACCAGAACCTTTTTCTTAAAGGCACAGTGTGTAGGATTTTGTCAATTCTTTTAGTCAAAAATTAAGATAATCACTAGGAATGCGTGATATAAACTATATACGGTAGAAATTATATAAATTTGTCCTATGATAGAGATCTGTAGTCTATCGGCCAACCGCGCAATTCTTTTTGATGACGTAACCGGCTGGAATCAAGAGAAAGCGGGAAGCTTGGCTGAGAGCGCAAATGAAGAGGGGAAAAAAACTTATCTGGACCTGGTTTGGGTGTGTGAAAATGAACGCCGAACTGTTTACATATTTACGTGACGGCGTGTCCTCCGGTGTATGTGTATGTATGTATGTATATATATATATGTATATATATATATATATACAGTATATATATATATATAAAGTATATATATAAAAAGTATATATATGATTTAATCAGGTAGATCTCCCTTAAATTCAGATTTTTATGGGAGACTTTAAAGTGTCCCTTAAAAAAGGAGATTTTAAGGTCTAATTTTTTAACCTATACAGTACATATTTATTCCACTCAATTAATGTGTGATTTATTTATTTTCTATTATAAGATTTATTTTGTGATATATATTGTTACCGCCACTCATCATAATGTATATCGTGAAATGAATATTTTTGCCATATCGCACATTCCTAATAATCACTAATGACAATAATAAAAAACATGTCTAATCATTGCAGACAAAGACCTTGTTTTATTATTTTTACCTTAAAAAAAGCTGTTCATATCTCTATGGTCGCGGGTCGCCACTACAGGCAGCCGCCATCTTGTCTACGAAGGCTCATGAAGGACAAACTGCGGTGGCGGCGTCAAAAACGGTTTTAGTTGTAATACTATAAATGTAATATTTGTTGTCTGTCATTGTAGCTGGGATAATTTTACTTATTAAAGCTCATAATCNGTACTATAATGTACAGAACTGCAATATATGTGTACTACTGTACTGTACTACGTTATACAGAAGGTAAAAAAAAGTGATAACTTTATTTAAATTAGGTATTAGTAAAGATTTTCTTTAAAGCATTTGGTTTTAGAATTTTTTAGAAGCAGTGCTATCCTAACTGATCGATGCCTCATCACTTGTATTGAATCCCAAAGATATTTATCTGATTTTCTATACTGGAAACTGTAGAATAATCAGCTGCCCTAATACTGGCAAAAGTTGTAATTAATTGTTTTATAATTTAGAGCAGTGATTATGTTTATAGGAAAAAAAATAGTTGATGAAACAATCATCTCCTGTTCATTAACAGCAGGGAGGTGGTATTTACCAATGCTGTAGCTACAAAAGCAGCGTGCTGAGCCACAATGTGTGTTTCTGCTGTAATGTGATTCTGCTCAGAGTTACCAGGGAAATGAGGCTCGTCTATCACTTGCGCTCTCTGTGTGACAGTTCATTTGTAGGTGTTTGGAGGGTTTATTTCCATTTTTCAGCCTAGCTGTGTCTCAGGAGAAGACAAGTCCAAACAAACCTTTATTCCCTTAGATGATGATCGGGTTAAAGGAGTCATCCTCTAATCAGAGAGTTGGTTGTTTGATTCTCCCATTGATTGTCCCATAGTATATGAATGTGATTTAAAACACTGATTAGTCTCAATAAACTGATTTGTACATCTTAGCTTTGTAGAGTATAGTAGAGTGCTGAATGAATGGTTAAATGAGGACACAGATTGTAAAGAGCTTTGAGTATCTTGGTTGGATAGAAAGGTACTATATAAGTACAGGTCATTTACCATTTACCATGACTCAGACCCCACGCTCAGTGTAACTCTAAAGTTACAGGCACTGATTGCCTGCAGTTTTGACCTGTTGCAGAGTAGGCTTGGTTCTTTACACCTCATCAGAACCTCTCCAATAATCATTTCCAAAGAAGCCCAAAAGGCACAAACCGAACTCTGTAAGAGTGGACATTTATAACTCTGCAAAATTTAGGTTCAGGTAAGAGTCAATCAGTTGTCTGTGCACAGTACTGGCACTACTTTTGCAAGACCAATTTCAGGAAATTCCACCCCAGTGCATGCTGGAAGTCAGGCACAGAAGACACCAACAAAACTAGATTGTTCACAAAAAGCACAAATGAAACCGCAAGGGTCTAAAACCAGACATCTTCACCTTGGGATCTTGTCTTTGTGACAATCTGAGACAGAGGACAGCTGTGTCAGCAGAGTCAGCTCTAACTGTTGGTATACAGGAACCAGACAGTGACCCTGTCACCACATAATCCTCAAGCACCCTCAACAAAATGTCCTGGGGAACACAATCATATCTTTTCTAGATCCATTGACTGGACATTCAAACTCATTTGTAGCAACTTTACATTAAAGATCTGGCCCACTGTTCCATGGATCTGATAGCTTAAAGTTACTGTACATTTACATGTTTCACCCTGATAATAACTAGTATTTTCTTTACAACTAGGTCTGTAAGCAACAAGTCAATTGCATGACAAATCAAAATAAAGTCAATTTTCCTTTATCTGCTTGTTTGTTTTCTTCATGTCTCCCTCACTAGCCCTGAAGCTGCTGGTAGACATCGCGGTTGGAATTATCAAAGGTTTTTGACACCTGAGAGACACCGTAGAAACTCCTTTGCGTTTGGAAGCGGGGGGTGGGGGTGGGGGGAGGACAAAGGAGGATGATTCAACCACTCAACCACTAGATGTTGCTGAAAACAACAAAACCTACACACATAGCAGCTCTGACCACTTGTTCATGATTTACTTTAAAATCAACTGAAACAGATGAAATAGTGAATATGTAACAGCTGATACACATTTCACGCTGTGCTAAAGAAGTCACTTCCTGGTCAGGAATCTGGATACTCCCACAGTTTCCTCACACAGACTAAGAAACATGCATTAATAGGTTAATAGCTGTAAATTCTGGTGCACACAACTCAAATTTTCTTACAAAAAAGGGGGAAAGAGTAAAAGGGTGCCCGGTTCTGAAGAATCATAAAAATGGGATAACCAGCACTCCAAAAAATACTGTGTTTTTAATAAGGACAGGAAACAGGACGCGTTTCGGCTACATGCTGTCGTCAACTTGTTACAGATCAGACAAACTACGAGTCTATCTAAAAAGGTAAAGAAAACACCTAAGCCAATCACAAACAGTTTGGGTAATCAATCAGCCCAAAAAAATAAGAAAAACCGCTGTGACTAACAAGCACAGAAGATGTTATGTTTTTGAATGTTTCAATAAAATCTGTCAAGTGGTTCATTAGTTATTTTGCAAACAGAGCGACAAAACTAGAAACAATTCTGCCATTGCAGCTTGAGCCTGGCCAACATGATGGCAGGGTCCTACCCTTTTCGGACACTGCAGGTCGCGGGCGAGGCTGAGCAGCAGCTCGTGGGAGATGGGGTCCACCAGGTTGAGAAAAGAGGCGTTCTTGTACAAAATGTCGTTCAGCGACGACCCCTGGAGTCCCAGATCCTGAGAGAGAGAACAGGGAGAGAGATTTAAAGAGAGTTTCGCTTTAACTCAGACACTTTATCTGTTTTAAACAGTCACGTCTGAACACAACAAGCTTCAGACGGGTTGTTTAATAAAGATAGATGGAGAATGGATTTCTAAGCTTTCTTTATTACCTCTCTTTATCTTGCCCTGCTATCGTCCTGTGAGCTGATAAGACATCAGACCTGTGAGTTAAAACCCCTCAGCAGCTGATTACAGATGAGAGTTTGGTCTCTGCCACCAATAAACATCCATTCTAACATGTTTTAAAAACACAAGAACCACTGGGAAAAGTTAAGTGAGCTGAGATTAGTTTTTTCTTTCTAATTTACTCAAATATTCCAGCTTTAATCCAGGGTGAAGGAAAATGAAAATAAATCTGATTTGCCCTTTTGCACCTCCCCCATACATTTAACAGTTCCAGCTGACTGTGACGCTCTTAAATTTAAAGACCCTGTAAAGACCAGAGTGGTTTATTTTAAACATAAAGCAGGAAGCGGGACGTATCTTAAGAGGCTTATATTTGCATCAGGCTCAGACTGTTTCTATTTGCATCCCTCTTGTAAATACCTCATACTGAGCATATGTCTTACGGTAATAATCCAGGCCTGAGAAGACGTTAAAGGAAAACAGATGAAAACATATTCAGAAGCTGAAAAATCAAAGGAAATAATTTATTTATTTTTTGAACATAAAACGGTCTTTATTGTTTTTCGTTTTATAGTTTCTACTGTATAATTTTAACAATCAAAATACTTTGATATATTTTGCACTATTTTTACCAGTTAACACAAAATGCTCATCTCAATCTGGAATAGTGTGACTTTTGTTTTTGCAAGTTTTGTTTAAAATATTTAACTTTGTTTACAAAAAGAATCGCCCAAAATTTACATTGAGATTTCTTCTAATTCTTTACACTATATTTAAGCATCATCTTCCTACATTTAGCTTTTTTGAGCTAATTTTAGGTTTTTTCAAATTTTCAGTTATTTTGCTCATTTAAGATATTAGCTTTGGTTTTATGCACTTTATATTTTAACTGTTGTTTTGCTAATATTAGCTATAAATATTGTTTATTTTCTATTTTTAGTCTTAGCTTTTGGATTGATTTCTGTTTTACTGGTTTTAGCCTTTATTTACCATTCTGTTCGTTGAAGCTTACCACTATTTTTGCTGGTTTTAGGGTGGCACAGTGGCTCGGTTGGTAGAACTGTTGCCTATTAGCAAAAAGGTTACCCAATTGAATCCCAGCTGGGGGCCTTTTTGGGTAGAGTTTACATGTTCTCTCTGTGCATGAGTGGGTTTTCTCCAGGCACTCCAGTTTCTTCCAACAGACCAAAAACATGACTTTTAGGCTAATTGATTACTCTAAATTGTCCTTAGGTGTGGGTGAATGGTTGTTTGTTTCTATGTGGCCTGGCTGTCCAGGGGGTACCCCTGCTGGATATAGGCTCCAGTGACCCTGAAAGGAAGAAGTGGGTAAAGATGATAGCTATTTCTAGCTCATGTTTTGATTATTTCAGCTTTTGTTCTTCTCAATTTAACTTCTTTTCTGTTCGTTTTAACTTTAACAATTCCGTTTCAGCTTCCTTAACAAACAGTCAGTTTGCTCTCAAACTGTGTTTTTACAGAAAATGCTAAATGTTACTTTCCTTATTCATAAAAACCAGTAAGGCCTCTGTTTCATTGCAGACCTCTTCATGGATGAAAACAAGGAAAAAAATTGTTTCACTGATTCATCCTTGGCTTGTTTTTGTTGTAGTTAAACTGTACAAAGGCTGAGGAGCTGCTGAATAAATATTGTCAGCTCTGTGTGAACTGAAAAGCTTTTCAAATACCAGGCTGGAGGCTGAAGCCATGTAAAACATTCTCTATATGTGCTGACAGCCATAACGCTTTGGGGCACAGAGACATAAAAAAAAACCTCCCATCAGCGTTTCCTCCTCCTCCAGCTTCTGAGTTGATTTATTACAGCAGAGATCTGTGGGATTCCCTAATGCTGGGCTATCCTCCACAACACCTCAAACTGAGAGGACCACATGCCTGACACAAAAGAAGATCCTTTTTTAAAGAATGTATTTTCCTTCCAATGTGTCACATCCATGCAGATTCAGCGTCAGTTTGTGGGAGATGAAAGGAAGCGTTTGTTGCAAACCCGCGAAAAGATCTGATCTGATGGATTAACTTGACTGATTCTTCACCGTGAAGGCATGAAACGTTCCGCTCTTTAACAGGATCCCCGTGTACTCGAGTGCGCCTTCAGATCCCCGCTAAAAATGTCCTCGGTAAAAGCAGCGTATCTCATCTCTCATCTGCTTCATCACAAAGGGTCTGAATGAGGAGATGATCTCAGAACAGCAGAGCAACATCCCACACGCGTTCTTCATTAAATAAAAAAAACTGCAGAACGCCACAAATCCCATCCCACAGAAACGCGCCACAGCTGTCAAACTGAGCACCATCTAACTCCGGTTTTTACTTAGTTCATTTCTTGTTTAAATTAGAAATAAAACAAACAATATTTTCTTTAGGGTTTAAGTTAATGATTGCTTTGTTGCCATGTGGAAAAGTGACATTTAAGACAGGAATGTTAAACATTTTTTAAAATGTATGTATGATAAAGTTGTGATGCTTTTATCAAGCTGCATTTATAAAACTGTAACGAACCTGATGGGTTTATGTTGTACAGCTGAGAGAAAGTCCCGCACACGTTTTTTTCCCCCAAAACATTTTAACTGCATGAATTTAAAAAGCTTGTTTTTCTAAAACCGCTGTTGTTTCTGAAAAATCACAAGGTGTTGTTTGGCGTCCTGTGGTGATACGACAACACATGGGGCCAACATCATCTTGGAGAATTTACTAATGAGCAAACAAGAAGCTTCTCAGAGGGAGAGGTGGAGTTTTAAAACAGTCGGAAACGAGACACTGAAGTTCAAAATCAGTTTTGACATTTAAGGCCTCACCCACGCAAACACATAATTAAAAATTTTTTTGTCTAAAATTATTCTCAGAGACACAACATCAAAACACTTTAGCAGCTACACCATGGGGGGCCATAATGCCAACAAAAACAGGAAACGAGGCGTGGAGCGTGCACGTAAAGCTTGCATAGTTTGTCTGTTCAGTTAGAGATTGGAGATGGGACGAATGGCTCGTTGAAGGGATTATGACCAGCTGTTTGTTCAAAAGAAACATTAAATTATGAAGAAATTACGTCATCAAGCAGAGATATATTCCTTTTCGTGGGCAGTACCATGTGTTTTCAAGCAGAACCCCACTCCCCCTTTTCCCTGAGCTTCTTGCCTGTTTGCATAGAAAAAGCAAAACAGGAGCGATTTGTCTCCGTGGTTAACAGGAAAAAATAAAGTTATTATGAGGAGTAAAACAACTAAAACTAACAATGGCTCTTGTCCGCAGCTCTATTCCTATAATTTTGGAGGTGGAGTTTTGACAATATTCTGTTTTAACCGTCTACACAAAAACTTCAAGGATTTCAAGTGTTTTTCACTCTAAACTTTAAAAAAATACATTTGAAGGCTCTTAAAACAAGCTTTATGCGGACACCTAAGTATAAAAGATTTCTGCTATTGTTTGATGCTAAAATCTCTCATACAAACAACCTTAAAGTATAATTTAATAAAAAACAATCTATTATGCTACATGTCATATGTCGATTGTTCAGAACGGCAGAGGGGCTGCAGTCAGTAAGGGGCAGGTGGGGTGCAGGTCACCAGCTCAATCCATGCAGAGACACAGGATTGTGCAAAATGCTGTCAGATCAGAACCACCAATTATACTAATGTGTATTTCTGTGTTAGAGCAACCTACCTGCAGAAACCCCAATCATGCACGAGGACAGACTGCAAACTTCACACTGAAAGACAAACCTGAGATGTGAAGCGGAGACCTTCTGGCTGTGAGACGACATTGCTATGCGCTACACATCTGTGCAGCCACAGGGCAGCACCATGAAGCAGAAACACAGATTTTTTTTTTGTTCAGGATGCTGAAAACTGACACCAACGATCCACCTGCTCCAAAATCTATTTAGTCAGCTTCCAAACATAAAATCAGACAAAAATCACATCTCTTAAGTTCCAGGTCTGTACTTGTCTATCACACAAAAATATAAGACTGAATGACATCATACTACCCTCAAATCTCTTTCAACTTTTTTATTGTATTATTTAAACTCTTTTAAGCACCACTGTGAAAAGATCCATGTAAAGCTTGCATGTTCTCCCCGTGCATGTGTGGGTTTTCTCTGGGTATTCTAATAAATGGAATAAAAAATGTGTCATATAATCACAATATTCTGATCTGATTCAGCTCGATGGGAATAAATTTGTAATCTGACTGAGAGGGGTGGTTTATGCCTGATTGATAATCTGAACGAGGTGCATGTAAACACTTATTCTGATCATGTTATTCTGGTCGTACAGAAGTGACCTGACTGTGCGCCCTGTCTCAACCTGACGTATTTCCACCTAGCTAGATGCTAATATGTTGGGGAAACAAAACTGGTTGGTTTGTAATGCAACATTTCTATTAGAAACTCTGAAAGAGCTCAAAATTATCGAATGCCTTGATGGTTGAAAGTGTAGGAAAACAGAGTTATTTCAGTGTTTATTTTAAAGCGGCAATATTTTGTGTTTCTCAAGCATACGTATATTTAAATTCTGTAGCATAATAAAAGTAACTATGTCACCTTCAGTTGTTATTAAAATGCTGTTTATATGTTTAAATAGAAAATAAACGTGACTTCTCATCATATCTGTTTCAAAACACCTTGAAATTGGCCTCTGTCTTTTTAAGAACCTCCTTCCTCTTCTGTCCCGCCCATTTCAGCATGGGGCTGGGCGGGTGTGTGTGCTCTGTGATGAGGAAGCTCAGCTTGGAGACACAGCCCAGAGGAGGAGCTGAGCCCAAACGGCGGTTCTAGTCCCAACTGGTTGTTTTTACTCTCCTGCCTGGCTGCCTCAGGACACTACAGGATTTCTCAAACATGCAGGAATGAGTCAAAGCAAGACTCTGGGCATGTTTTTGATGAGAGGATAACATTATAACATGATATAGTCCCTTTAACATTTGTTTATGTTCATCGCTGAAGTAGAACCTTTTTTTAATTTTATTTTTTTAGGGAAAGTTTACAACTCTGCGCATGTCAGTTCTGTTCTGAATAAAAGCCTGGTAAAGGTAAATGCTTGTCATGATTGGATTAATTAGTTTTGTGCCCATATAAACAACACATTTGGATTATTTAATCTGAATACATTTCAATCCGATCAAAGAATTTTACACATGTAAACATAGCTAATGACTACTGGAGGCAAGCTCTGGATGGATGGATGGATGGATGGATGGATGGATGGATGGATGGATGATACAATGAAGCTGGATGTAAAGCTGAGGGTTACATTGATGGCATTTTTTATCCAAAAAACAAGACCACAAATAGTACTTTGCTATTTCCCCAACAAATAATAAATTATTTCAATTTTGTGTGTTGGTGCAACTGATTTTGTTTGTTTTTCTCGCATCAATTTGAATAACAAATGCTGCGTATCAATGCTTATTGTTTTGTGAAGTGACAGAATTTTGTGCATAATTGAGAAAAAAAACAGGGTTGTTTTTAGCTGGTTTTGTTACCTAATTAACAAAACATTTATTTAAAAAAAACACAGTCATAAGTTGAAATACATTTCAAACCACCTTCTTCTCAAGTGCTGATGTTTGCTGTACAACAATATAACAACATGTCCAGAGCTTTACTGCTACGAGGACTCACGGAGTCTTTGTTTACTAATCAGAATATCCCAAACTAATTAACTTAATGGCCCAGAAGCCTGATCTGTGATGGAGATGCTGCACAGGGGCTGGTGTTATTGGTTCCTGTTTATAATGACTTCCTCTATGTAGAAAAAAAAAGTTCCTGCATCTGTCATCTCAAGGTGATTATCTCCACATTCATCCATCCCTGAGAGGAAAGCAGCCTTTACTGCTGAGCTGCAACAGGAGATCTACAGCCAGCTCTTTTTTTCCCTCTCCCCCTTCTCCTTCCCATCCTGAAGTATTATTAGTCAGACACTTGGCTTCAGCCCAAACAACGTAGCAGTCCTCTGGCTTCACCCCACTGAGCGATGGAGAGAGCAACAGCGGTGCTTCGTGAGCAATTTAAACACTGAATTATGGAGAAATCTATAGTTATGAAGCAGATCTGTGATTGCATCTGAGATGTGTGACAGCTTTAGCAAACGTGGAGTAAAATGGAGATAAAATAATCTTTGATTTATTTGAAAGATTTGTTCTCAGTTTAATTAATTTTTTTAAAACTTTCCTTCTGCATCTGATTTTTGTGTTGCCATCTGCGCAAATCTGTATTATCAACATTTATTTACTTTTAATGACATGGAATACATCTTAACTTGATTAATGCACATACTTGAAACACTCTTACACTAAAAACATTTTTTTAAATTTTGTTTATTTTGCTATTTTAGGTCAATCCTCTCAAAGTAAGAATGTCACCATATTCAGTAGAAGATGAAACAAGACAGAAAAACCTGTTTTTTTTAGCTTTATGAAAAAAGGGTTTACATAATGTGCAACTGGGACAGATTAGATATTTTTTAATAACACATTAAAGCATCAGTTTGGATTAAGAGCTGCATTTTGCTATGATTGGGATAGTTCTACACGTTTCAGCATCAGAAACATAAAAAAACCCTGAATATTTTTATTTTTATCATTTTATCTCCTGCACAGCTTTGGTACACAATGATCAGTTTTGACTCGAGTGCTTTTTTATATGATCTGGTTAGGTTATTTTTCAGCTCCATTTAAGGTCTTTCAGCTGGAGTCACACAGTCATGTACAAAGTTTAAAGGAGTAAAAGTTTAAAAGACTAACTTTTTTGTCAAAAAAAGACTTTAACTTTTTAGAAAATAACACTCTGACACTAATAGAGCCTGATTGTTAACTTAATAAAAGGTTATTTGTGTCAAATGTTTAATAAAGATGTGTCAAAATCTGTTCCTTTATCTCTAATTTTACAATAGCTTCAAACTGGAGCACTTCTTGTTTCAACAGAAGCATTTAACAGTTAAACTAACTTCACTTTGTTAAACCTTCTATAGCACGCCCTAAATAATAATAAACAAAGTAAAAAAACAGAGATTTTCCTACCTTCCTGAGCAGTTTGAGCACTTCTCCAGCCTGCTCCATCCTCTGCTCCCGCAGCAGCCTCTGGATCTCGCGGACCCACGCCACCCTCCTGACGTACGGGCTCGGGCTGGTTTTGCGCAGCATCCCGGGCAGCTTGTCGGATCGGAGCATCAGGGAGGTGAACAAGAAGTCTCCGCCGCTCCTGCCGCCACTTTTCTCGCCCTCCGCGCTCAGCTCCTGCCTCTGGCGCCTTCTTTTTGTCAATTTGCTCTCAAGATCCAGACTTCTCTGTCTTGTTAACTTCGAGCCCATGGTGGCTGTGGTGGTGGTGATGATGATGATGATGCTCCCTCCTCCTGAGAGGACCTGTCGGTACGAGGAGTAGAAGAAGAAGCAGCAGAAGTGCGCGGGGGTTTGACACCACGCAGCCCAACCATCACACCGAAGCTGCACCCAGATGTGGCGACACGCAGAGGAAAACGAGTGTTTGTTTTGTTGTGGAAGTTTTCAAAGATGCAACAGCGTGACAATGTGCCTGCAGGCTGTCTGGGTGACGTGCTCCCACCCCCCGCCCGCGTCCGTCCATGCACACTGCCTGTCTGAGCACTCTGGCATCCTTTGGCTCCACTCAGAGCCGGAGCTCCTCTCAGCCAATCAGAGCCGGATTTGCTGCTCGGCTTTGGGGGGCGACTGTCATGCAGCAGACTGTTGACTGTTACATTAATTTCCCCTCCTGATCCTATAAACACACCAAAAACAGCCATACTTAGAGGTTAGATGGATGGATAGATAGTATTAAAAAAAGTGTACACTCTAAAAATGAAATGTTGGATTTACTTAACCATGTTATGTTACCTGGTTCCACTTAACTGAGTTGAGTAAACTCAAAGCAACATGCTCATGTTCTTTGGCTAAAAAACTGGTATATTGCTTTGAATTTACTCAACTCAGTTAAGTGGAACCAGGTAACATAACATGGTTAAGTAAATCCAACATTTCATTTTTTACAGTGTACATGTGCTCTAGTTTGGAATTGAGAAAGTTGAATTGAAACATACTGTTTATGGTAAAAACAGTAAAATAAAATGTTAAAAAATGTCACTAACACATTTTCATTATTTATCTTACATTCTGAGTGTAAAATCCCACTTAAACATTTTCCACTAGCATTTAATTTTAACTCACTTTTCTTAGGTTTTGCCAATTTTTACCATGTTAAATTTAAATGTTGAATAATATGTTAAAAATAAAGAAATAAAATAAGTGTTGTGGTTGAAGTTTATATTTAAAGGAACAGTGTGTAGGATTTTGTCAATTCTTGTAGCCGAAATTGAGATGATCACTAATGACAATAATAAAAAACATGTCTAATCATTGCAGACAAAGACCTTGTTTTATTATTTTTACCTTATAAAAAGCTGTTTATATCTCCATGGTCGCGGGTCGCCACTACAGGCAGCCGCCATCTTGTCTACGAAGGCTCATGAAGGACAAACTGCGGTGGCGGCGTCAAAAACGGTTTTAGTTGTAATACTATAAATGTAATATTTGTTGTCTGTCATTGTAGCTGGGATAATTTTACTTATTAAAGCTCATAATCTTACCACTTGAAACATCACTAGCCCTGAAGCTGCTGGTAGACATCGCGGTTGGAATTATCAAAGGTTTTTGACACCTGAGAGACACCGTAGCAACTCCTTTGCGTTTGGAAGCGGGGGGTGGGGGTGGGGGGAGGACCAGGGAGGATGATCCAACCACTAGATGTTGCTGAAAACAACAAATCCTGCACACTGTGCCTTTAAGTAGGCTATTTCAGAATGGAATGTGGCCGCTATGAAAGGGGCGGGGCCAGGTCAGTGTCAGACGCACACCATATTTGGAAACGACACCATTGTACTCCAGAAATAAAGGGGACACTGTGACAATGAACACTTACTAATATCTTACAGAAGCAAGTGAACTTTTTTTTCGTGTGTTTTTCATTTTGAAAACATATATTGGAAAACAAAAAATGGATATTTATCCTATTTTTATTTTATACTCCCAAAATGGAAATGCTTAGCTAAAATGTGTTTATTTATCCCATCATCAGACCATTTAAGGTGGAGATATATATTTTGAATGAGCTAGAATAACTATTTTATTTTTTTAAATAGTCTGCGGGTATTTAGGAATGCAGTTAGCGTTTATGCATACATTTACAGGCAACGCCTGTGGGCAGACTAGTTCGAGATGATAGAAAGGGAAAGATGATGAACCATCATCTGGTCTGATGAGTACAGACTCACTGAACACTAGTGGCCTCCACAGTCACCAGATCTTCTGTCAAGCTTGTTTATGTGGTGGGGCAGAGATTCACATTATGGATCTGCAGCATCTGTGTGACGCTATCATGATATATTAGATCAAAACCTTTGGGAACTGTTTCCAAAAAACTTGTTGAATCTATGCCATGAAGAAAAAGGGAGTCAAATCAAATGCTAACAAAGAATAAACAGCCTCACCAACTATTAAAGTTTTTCTTTAATCAGTCTATTACAACTGATGTTGTTAATTATCTACCATGTGCTGCCTGAGGGCTCAAGGATTGTGGTCATTAAATGTATTAAAAAATTCCGTCAGATTTGTTTGTTTTGGAGTTTTGCCCCTTTTTAATCTATTATTTTAGATCAAAGATTTGTATTTTTTGTAACCTATCCTGATAAATATCCTTAGATGTAATAAATAAGTTATAAATGCAGAGTGCTAACCTCTGAGATTCCTACATTTCCTGAGTAATGATTTGTCTCATTACATCAGGACATGAAAGGAAATCCAGTTCCAAAAGGTAACCTGACTTGTTATGTGCTTCAGGCACATTTTGTTTTATCTTTGCTTTTTTCTAGAGTGTTTTTGTTTATTGTTGGGTTTTTCTTATTCAGGTATTTTTTTTAGAGGAAGTGTTGTATATTTAGAATTGGTTACTTTTTTCTAGTTAAAACGTATATTATGTAGAAGTTCTGATTGGTTAGCTGCCCTGCCTGCCTATAAATAGGACTGGTCTGTAGCACTTTTTTTTTGCTTCTCCTTCTTCCTCTGGTCTCCTTCAGTTGGTGCTGATTGCACCCAACTGGTTGCAGGTGAGACTGGCTGCAGGCTTGGCCCTCTGCCTCAGCCTGCCATGAGTTTTTGACTTTTTTTTTTTTTTTGTAGCTTTGGCCTGGTGGGACCAGCCATTTTTTCGTGAGTATGTCTTTCTTATCATTTTATGATGGTCTTTTTTGTTAGTTTAGTTTGTTGTGGTTGTGGCTTCGACGGCCCTGTGTAGATTTATCCCACTGCCACACCTTTTTGTTTTATTTGGCTGGCTCACCAGGTCCATCTTTTGTTTGAACTTTGAGTTTTGACTTTTGGATTAGTAATTTATTTTGGGAAGACAATGGTCCTTAAAATTTCCCTCTCTCTTTTTTGCAGGTAAGTTTTTTTTGTACCTTTTTCTCTCCTCAGCTAGGTTTTTTTTGGAGGACCAGGCAGAATAATTAATAAAAACGTTTTGTTCCTGAGTTCTATCTTCGTGTCCCTCTTAAATGTGTTGTGACCCCTTCTGTGTTTCAAGGGGCCGTAACGCTTGTTTATTACAAAGCACCCAGGTCAATGATCTAACAGCCGTATTTAAAAAGAGCACAGTCATCTAAAGGAAAGATGACTTTAACTTTCACAACCCCACACCACTGTGAGTTGTGTACATATTAACAGAGAGTTGGAAGCTTGCAGCCTTCTTACATCACCGCACAAAGGCAGCTTGTGTTAGAAGTCACACCTCCTGGTCCAAAGTGAACTCTGTGCAGGATCTAACTTCTAACATAAAAAACTCTCAACAACTGAGATCCAGCTTATGTTAAAGATCTTACTGCTCTTTTATTCAGACTGCAGGTTTACTGGGAGGCAGAGCTTATGTGAGGCAGATACTCTTGAGACCAGGCTTTCAAGTGATCTTAGAAAACACAAAGATGATCAGGACTTAAATATTTAACAGAAAGTCTGGTGATTGTAGCTGAGAGTCATTCACAACACATACTTGAAGTGCTATATTGTGCACAATTTTTGTTTAAACCTTGGAACACCTTTGGAATCAACCCTGTTTGTCTGTTAGCAAAATATCTTATGGCTGAGCAGATGTTAAAAAAACATTTTGAGAAAAAATGTTGGATATGCATCTACAAGTGATTAACTTTTGGAGTTGGTGAAATTCAAGATGGCTGCCACAGCTAACACTATTAGCCAACACAAAAAAATAGATAAATCCCAGCCAGTTTTACAGATGTTCAGCTATAATTTGATTTGATAGTTAAGTCATTCACTGCACATTTTCTGTGCATGACATCTTTTGATAGCGCATGTAATTTTATTTTTAACATCTTAATTTGAAATGCTTCCTGCAGATCAAGGAACAGAAAGAAGAGCATTAAATAATTCTCCATGTGCCATTTTGTCTCCAAACAGATACAAAGAACTTTGTTGCTGTTTTGCCGGGAGGTTTTTTTTCCCCTCAAGGAGCTTGTCTGATTCACACTGTCACTACAGGTGCTGGTCATAAAATTAGAATATCATGAAAAAGTAGATTTATTTCAGTAATTCCATTTAAAAAGTGAAACTTGTATATTATATTCATACATTACATACAAACTCATATATTTCAAATATTTATTTCATTTAATTTTGATGATTACAAATGACAACAAATGAAAATCTCAAATTCAGCATATCAGAAAATTAGAAGATTACTGAAGACCAATAAAAACAAAGGATTTATAGAAATGTTGGCCAACTGAAAAGTATGAGCATGTACAGCACTCAGTATTTAGTTGGGGCTCCTTTGGCCTGTATTACTGCAGCAATGCGGCGTGGCATGGAGTCGATCAGTCTGTGGCACTGCTCAGGTGTTATGATAGCCCAGGTTGCTCTAATAGTGGCTTTTAGCTCTTCTGAATTGTTGGGTCTGGTGTATTGCATCTTCTTCTTCACAATACCCCATAGATTTTCTATGGGGTTAAGGTCAGGAGAGTTTGCTGGCCAATTAAGAACAGGGATACCATGGTCCTTCAACCAGGTACTGGTAGCTTTGGCACTGTGTGCAGGTGCCAAGTCCTGTTGGAAAATGAAATCTGCATCTCCAAAAAGTTGGTCAGCAGCAGGAAGCATGAAGTGCTCTAAAACTTCCTGGTATGTGGCTGCGTTGACCCTGGACCTCAGAAAACACAATGGACCAACACCAGCAGATGACATGGCACCCCAAACCATCACTGACTGTGGAAACTTTACACTGGACTTCAAGCAACGTGGATGAAGTGCCTCTCTTCTTTTCCTCCAGACTCTGGGACCTTGATTTCCAAAGGAAATGCAAAATTTACTTTCATCAGAGAACATGACTTTGGACCACTCACCAGCAGTCCAGTCCTGTTTCTCTGTAGCCCAGGCAAGACGCTTCTGACGCTGTCTGTGGTTCAAGAGTGGCTTGACACAAGGAATGCGACAGCAGAAACCAATGTCTTTCATACGTCTGTGTGTGGTGGTTCTTGAAGCACTCACTCCAGCTGCAGTCCACTCTTTGTGAATCTCCCCCACATTTTTGAATGGGTTTTGTTTCACAATCCTCTCCAGGGTGCGGTTATCTCTCTTGCTTGTACATTTTTTTTCGACCACATCTTTTCCTTCCCTTCGCCTCTCTATTAATGTGCTTGGACACAGAGCTCTGTGAACAGCCAGCCTCTTTAGCGATGACCTTTTGTGTCTTGCCCTCCTTGTGCAAGGTGTCGATGGTCGTCTTTTGGACAACTGTCAAGTCAGCAGTCTTCCCCATGATTGTGTAGCCTATAGAACTAGACTGAAAGACCATTTAAAGGCCTTTGCAGGTGGTTTGAGTTAATTAGCTGATTAGAGTGTGGTACCAGGTGCCATCCATTTTGAACCTTTTCACAAGATTCTAATTTTCTGATATGCTGAATTTGAGATTTTCATTTGTCATTTGTAATCATCAAAATTAAACGAAATAAACATTTGAAATATATCAGTTTGTATGTAATGTATGAATATAATATACAAGTTTCACTTTTTAAATGGAATTACTGAAATAAATCTACTTTTTCATGATATTCTAATTTTATGACCAGCACCTGTACATACATTATGAGACACTTACAGTCAATAAAATTTTAAAGAAATAATGAAACGAATCGATAAAACATATTTTCCCCTTCAGCTTCTCTATGAAACACTGTCAAACCTGAAGACAGAGTCCCACATGTCCCCTGCTGTGTCTCCACACACCTGTCTGTGGCTCAGGAGCTGATTTCCTCCACAGCCTCCTGATTGCTTCTGCACCTCCACAGCACAGATGGAGGTGTCAAGCTGTTGTGATTTCTTTGTATACAGGAACCAGTCGCCTTAATAAGAGAGGATGAGGAGGGAAGGGAGGATAAGACACCAGGACGTATATGAAAATGTGTCTTTGCCAGCTGCACGAGCAGTTTTTTTTTATTTTTTTTTGCTGCTAACGTGCAGTGACTCCTTTAGCAGATGGAGTTCACTGAACTAACAGAACGATCACATCTAGACGTGGCTGAAATACTCAGAAAATGTCCTGCTAGGAATTAAATGAAGTCAAGTTGAGCTTGTTTGTAAATTAAATCAGTGAGTGTTAAATCATTCCTAAGAAGTCTGATAGATGTCAGTGATTCTTCCACTTGTTTTGCTTTAATGTTTAGTTTTAGCACAAGATCATAGAAGTGAACAATGCACTAAAGAGAATACAGGGTGTGTCAAAAAAAGGAAACCCAACTTAACATCGTCACTGTGGCAAAACTATACAGTTTCACCTAAAAAGTAGACAACAGCTTTCTGGTGATACTTCATTCATGAATTTCCAGTTACGCACGACTGAGCAGCGTTGTGTTGAAATTTGCATCACTTTTTGGAGGTGGCTCACTCTGATATGCAACAAAATTAGCACAGACTCGTATCTTTTTCTTAGAAATGTTACTCCTTTTGTGCATTCAGGACATTTTCAAAATGTGTTTCTCTTTCTTCACCATCCAATGCCTTCCACATGTCCCCCTCCCCGCTCAACATACAGTTGGCATCGACGTCTCATGTCGTTCACGACTCGAGGAATGGTGCCTGGATTCTGTCGCAACACTTCAACCTCATGCTCAATTCTCTGTTGCAAGTCCTGCAGGTTGCGTGGAGGAGTTACAAATACTTTGTCTTTCACATACCCCCAGAGAAAGAAGATAAAAAAGATATGAGTCAGTGTTAACTTTGTTGCACCTCCAAAAAGGGACTCAAATTTCAATACAATGCTGCTCAGTCGAGCGTAACTGGAAATTACTGAATTAAGTATCATCAGAAAGCATTTGTTGTCTACTTTTAGGTGAAACATGCTTCCTGCTGTAAATGTTTTGCCACGGTGACAATGTTAAGTTGGGTTTCCTGTTTTTTTTTTGATACACCCTATATATCAATAAAACCCTGGGTTTCAACTTTTAATTACTAAACTTCCACGCTAACACAAACTCAGTTTGGAGTTTTGAACCTGAAGTTGGTAAAATGTGCTGTTAGGTTCTTTTAAAAACTTAACAAGTTGAACATTTTGTCAAGATCTGTGTATTTTGATTACTTTTAGATGGTTTTGGAGGTTTTTCTTTTTATTTTTGGTTTATGAATAAGCCTAGGGCCATCAGTTTTGAATCTTTTATTTACTGAACTTCTTTTATCCAGGTCTGTTTCTTTGATCTTATTTGTTTTTTATATTAGTGATTTAGTTTGATTCCCTCCGTCTAGTTCCCCCTCCTCAGGTATTCTGTTTTTGGGGTCATCTCTTAGGTCGTATTCAGACCTGATAATTTGGTCCGCTTTAAACGAACCAGAGTTCGTTTCCAGCGTTGGTCCAGACCTTTTGTGCTGGTGTGAATACACTCATGCAAACTCTGGTGCGGGTCAAACAATCGGACCGAGACCTGCTTTTTGAGGTGGTCTCGGTCCGCTTCCAAACAAACTCTGGTGCGGTTCACTTTAGTTCGCTTCTGGTGTGAATACAGACCGGACTCTAACTGAATCAGCTGAATTAAACATGCGCCTTTTTGGACTTCACAGGCCACCGTTGCTGAGCTAAATAAACTGAAATCATACCTTTTTCGTCGTCTCCTGTTAGCAGCTCTGCTGCCAGCATGTTGTGGGTCAGAACACGCAGCGCACCTCGTCTCCTTTGGGTTGCGGGACACATTTACTGACGCCGCTCCAAAATTAGAATATCTTCACGGAACCACCATTAAATTAGCTGCTTCTGACATTTTAAATGCTATTGCAGTTGTACTATCAGYAAAAATGTGCGTATCAGAACCGCAACATGCAGGACTTCCTTGTTTTCTTCTGGGTCTGTGGCTCAGTCCCGCCCCGTCCTTTTTTTTTGTCCAGTGGGAGCAATAATCGTCAGCCTCATGGCTTTGTTTACAAGTTATAGTTCGTTTGCAAAAAAGCACAATGTGAATGCAAACYGCACCAAACGAAAAAAAAAGGTCCATTTTTGGTCCGGACCAAACAATTGGACCAAAGGACTTTCCTGGTCTGAATACACCCTTAGAGGGAGGGGTACTGTCAGCACCTGCTAAATTTTGTTACTTGGTGATGTTTTTTTGAGTTTATTATTGGATTTATTTTCCTTGTGGTTTTAATTTTCTGGGGTTTGATATCTTTGTGTAGTACTGTTGTTTGTTAGCCTGGTAAGAACCAGCCTTTTGTCCTACGCTTTGCTTCATATAGAGGGTCTGGAACCTCAATTATTAAAAAAATACTTCTTGCTGGAAGCGTGGACTCTGTTTAAATTTAAAACAATTGGATCTGATTTACTCATTTGCTAATGTTTGGCTTGGGACGTATGTTGTGCGCCAGCTCGACCGTGAAGGAGGCTAAGCTAAGCAGCCAACCGGAAAATGCGTGTGCTGTGAACAACCATCCCCTTCTGGGAAGAGAGAAGTACCAAGCCAAACAAGATGGCTGTAAATGAGTGCTACAGGCTTTGTGAGACAAAGTCAATTTAATTTGGAAGCCTTGTCAACACAAACTGAATGGCTTCATTCACTTCCTCCGCTGCCATTGCTAAACTACAGGCAGACTAAAACAGAGCAGAAAATCATTGTCGTCATTTATAACGCCGCGTCCTGTTCGGTGATTGGCCTGGTTGAAATTCTACAGAAGAAATCCTTGTCTATGAGAGAAATCCCAGATGAAGCAGAGAAGGGAAACTAGAATTGAGCAGAACTGCGTAGGAAGACGAGAGCCAGGCCAGTTGTTTGTACCTGGTCAGTTTACGTCTGGAACATCAGTTTAGTTTCTCTAAGTTTAGATCCTGATAAGTTTTGTGTTCTCTCCCAGGTTTTCATGCACTTTCTGTTACCAGTTCAGCTTTCCTCTTCCTCCTGTCCTTCCTGCCTCAACCTGAGCAAACTCACACTTGAGCCGTGCCTCAATGAGCGCACCTGTTTCCTTGATTGTCTTTTCTCACATACCTGCTCAGTGTTTGAAAGTCAGTGAAGCATTATGTGTCTCACATGCCTGATTTGGTTGCATAGTATGCGTTTGTCCTCACAACTTGTCCTTTTTGTCTGCCACGTCAGCTTTTGTAGTTTATTGAGCTTTAGGTGTCAAGTCTGCATTCCTAATTTGTGATACATTCATTCAGCAGAAGTATTTTTGCTGATTGTGCATTTTATAAAGCCTCCCCAAGATTTTTCAGGCTACTGGTTTTGAACCAGAATACTTTTTATTTGGTTATCTTTCCTTTTTTCCTGACATCATCTAACAGGTGGAAGGAACATCACGTGAAGTGTAAGTACAAAGTTTAAACTAAAGAGACCAGTGGTTAAGGCTTTATCTGATGAGAAATCTTTATTGCTGTAAAGTTAGTGTGTATCCCTGTTTCTATGAACCGAGCTGCTTATTTATCAGGAATTTCTTGTCCGAAGTTGCACTCCTTCACACTGTATCTTTACAGGTTTGTTTTTTTCCCCCTCTACCTTTAAAATAAAGGCAATTCCCTGTGGTGCAAGTCAGCTAAAGCATCACTGGTGATAACGTTTTAACTGATAAGAGTCGTTTCAGTCATGCCGCAGATATCAGACAGCGACATGATTCCCAAGTACAAATGACTTGTTTTTGGAAACTGAATGATCATCTTTTGTTTCATATTGTTCTATTTGCATTTTTTTTTCGTACCGCCACTGATGACACAAGCTTTACTGTGGGCTGGGTTAATGTTTATTGACTGCCTGATAAAATTCCATCACCTATAAAAACTGCAGCAGACTCCAGCAAACAGCCTGCTGCTGCTCAGGGCCCGAGGGAAAACAAGGTAAGACAGAAAACCTCTTTTTTAAAATATGACATTGTTTTAAACTCAAAACAAAAGGAGTTGAATATGAGCTTCCAAATCATTTCATCTATTTTATTTAGTCGCTTCTCCTTTCCAAGAATTCTTGAAAACCTTAATTTTTCTATTTTATTATTGAAAGGATTTAAAAAATTCGACCCTCCTGCTGCCCGTGGGTCAAAAATGATCCACGAGACCTCATTCATGGATCATTTTGATGCAAGGAGAAATGAGCTGTATCCTGTAGCAGCTGCTCAGCTGTATCAGCTCACATTACATCATCACTGCTTTGATCAATCCTGTGATCAAAGCAGTCGGTGTTAACTTGAAACACTCTACGTG